TCGATGCTGTCAAGGGGGCTTGGCATGACGTGACACGGCGAGCAACTGCGGAAAAGATCCACGAAAATATAAAATGTAGGTAGCGATGATCGACCTGCACACACACCAGAGAGACACATCACGACACATCAGTGATAATTACGAGGGAGTTTGAGACGACACACATGTCTGTCTGTCTGTCTGGTTGGTTGGTTGGTTGGTTGGTTGGTTGACGGATGGGATGGTGAAGGCGTCGTGTTGAGACTCACCACCGCCTTGAAGGACGTCTTCCTAGGTAGCTTGAAGGCCCAACCGTACAGGCTTGCAGGTCACCCGTCTGACGCCTTCCGTCCCCCCAGAGCACATAACGGCAGACCACAGTCCCACATCGCCAGTGGTGTAGTGGCGGACGGTCTTGGCCATCTCCCCAGGTATGGACTTCCTGCAGACAGGCAGATAGGCAGTGACCATACCCTCACCTCACCTCATGCTCGCCGCATAGTCGGTCCGTGTCCGTGTTATGTGTACTTTGCCTGCCCCCGCAAACAAGTCTACTACGGTGCCCTTCGGATACAGCCTCCTGCAGCTGGCGGCTTGGTGCGTGGCGATGGCCTCTGGGCCAATGCTGTATCTGGTTGACACACACACAACACAACTTGTTACACAAGCACTAGCGAATGAGCGAGCAGATGAACATGCTGTACGTTCCTCCTCCCTCACTCCTCCTCTGTCGTGCCTCCTTTGTTTGATGAGGGTGGTCTTATCGGTGGGACCGTGCCCCTCTCCCCTCGACGGCGCCGGGGGCAGCTGCACGACAGCAGCCCTCCAGGCCTCGAAGTGGGGCTGGGGCGAAATGGACGAAGAAATATGCACCGGCACCCATTCACCCAAGTCAGGCAGCGAGCAATTGAAGAAAAGGGCCACGAGAATATAAAATGTAGGTAGCGATGATCGTCCTGCATACACACGCCAGAGAGACACATCTATGATAATCACACAGTGAGACGGACTTGGCTTCTTTTCATTTTGTCTGCATTTTGTACCTTCTCTCCAGCCGTCATTCGCGGCATTGCACTCCCAAAGGGCTGCGAGGTCAGGGCAGGCAGCAGTGGACTGACTGGCTCTGGTGTGTATGTGTGTGTATTCCGTCCCATTCGAAAAAGACCGACACGCGACAACGGCCATCCACCCGTTCACCCACCCGACGACAAAAGAGAACCACATGATAGGCAAAACCACTCACTCGCTGACTTCCCCACAGGCGACAAACAAAACGGCCCCAGACAAACCGGCACACTGGCTTCCCCCGACAGCCCAACCAGTGGCAAAAGGATGAGGAAAGAAAGCGATCGATCAACGAGTGACGACAAAACGGAACCCGGACACCACACTCCTGCGGCCCCCATCCCTCCTCCCATCCGACCGATCTACCTCTCCCCTCTGTCTGTCTTGCTCTGGTGGGTGTTGAGAAGAACGGCGCGGTGGGTGTGTTTACTCTACAGAGGCAGTCGTGGGAGTGCTGCCAGTGATCCTCTCCCCTCTCTTTGTCTCTCTATTTCCCCGCTGTTTCCCTCGACAAGTCTGTCTGTCTGTCTGTCTGCCTCTCCGGTAAGTATCAGTCCACGAGCAATGTAGTATCGTCTGATATATCTGTGTGTGTGCGTGGGGAGACAGGAAGGTACGTACATCCAGCCAGAGAGCCAGCAGTAACTATCCCGCCACCCATACATCCATCCATCCATCCATCCATCGAGCCAGCCAGAGAGCCAGCCATGGACCACGTCAAAACACATCCGCCATCAGTGGGTGCACTCACACAGCCAATGAATCGATGAATGAATGCAGCAGGGAAAGAACAAGGGCAGGCAGGCTAGCAGGCAGGGCGTCAGCCACCACCTCACACACACCCGCTCGATTGACTACCTGTTGAATCTCAGCTGCAGTCGCTCAGTTCTGGTGGTGGCGCGGCTGTTGACGATGTGCATGACACGGTCATCCACAGTGGTGTGGGCGGGGGGACACCAGGTGGTCGTCCGGGAGGGCGGCAGCTTCTTTGCTATACTGCAGACACGACAACACACACACATGGATGGAGACACGTGTGTGGTGTGTGTGCCGTGGGTCGCGTTGCGCACACACGTACCGCTCAGCGATGTTGCCGATGTAGGCGGTGATGTATTTCAGCTTGTAGTTAGTCCTGCCCCTCCTGGCGGCAGGCAGGCGGGTGACCATGGCCTCTATCACCGGGGGCGTGTACGTAATCAGTTCGTGGCCGTTCTCATACAGCTCCCTTGTCGCCTTCCAGGCGCCCAACTCGGCCTGCACACACACGTCGATGACGACAACACAACGCAAAAGCAGACGACACACATGTCCGTCTGTCTGATTGATGGATGAATGGATGGATGGATGTGACGTGTTAAGACTCACCGCCGCTTGGAGGGGGGTGTTGCGTAGGAGCTTGAACGCAAACGAGTCGGTGATGGCCTCGCAATCGGCCGACACGTCAAACACCGACTGAGCCACACACACACACACACACACACAGAGAGAGAGAGAGATATGAGTGCTTCCGTGTGTGTGGTGTGTGTCCATCTTCCTTCCTCTCACCCTCGTAGCCCATCTTGGTGATGTCGAAGGTCCGCTGCCCCTTGACGAATGCCGCCCCGCCCCATGGGAGGTCAGCAAACACCTGCAGTCACACACAAACGAAGCGACACACGAATGCACTCATGCACCTTGTGTGTGTGCCTACGTGGGCATGCTGTCTGTGTAGGTACCAGGTCACATCGATGCTTTCGCCGTTTGGTGCGGTCGACGAAGGCATAGAAGCTCTCCTTGCAGACGCGGGCAGGGGTGACGCCTGACACCCACCCACACACACAGAGAGAAAGAGAAACAGACAGACAGAGAGAGGGAGCAGTGTGGCAGGCCGCTCATGGGTCCACTCAGCCATGCACAGGCGGAGGCACCAACCGTATAGTTTGAAGTTCTCTTGTGCGTCGGCCGTGTGCGTGGGGTTTATCTCACAGCACAGACCTTGAGGCTCTTCAGGCAGAACCGGATCGTGTTGCCGCCTGAATCGAACGCATCAAGCACATAGACAGGCAGACAGACAGACAACAGACGTGTCACCAGGACGTGCAGTGCTCGCAACACCACCACAAGGGGCAGGCGAGTGAATGAATGGACGTACCCGCGCCCATGCAGAGGTCCAGCACAATGCCGCCGCTAACGACATTGTCGGCTATTGTGTCGGCGGTGATGGCGGCGATGTCCTCCTGAGACACGCCTTCCCTGAGAGCATAGGGCACACACACATGGCACACACTCATCCATCCCTCCATGTTTGTGGCGCCAACAACTTCAACTGCACCCCCCCCCCCCCCCCCC